CTCTATTAAGCCAGTTGTGAATGACAGTCCTCTACTGTAAATTTTTCCAAAGGTATTAGCAGGCTTTTACTTAAATGGATGCTTTTGTGTCAAGCTTGGGGTCACAGTGTGTCGTCAACTTATGAGCACAATAGAAAAACACAAGATATCAAAACAATCTGGTTGTATTTGTTTTTTAAAGACACTTAGTAATCCAGCTATCTTTATCTTATAATAAAAGAGAGACTGGATGTATTTCAAAAGAAGCTGCATGACAGTTGATAGGGAAAAGTACACGAAGAATTGCAGTTGACTGTATACACCTATATCTAAGGGACCTAATCCTAATCTTATTCAGTTAATCATTGTTGGACTAATTACCACTCCTTCTCACTGAGCTGCAGTCATTGTTTCAGCTAATAACTGCATCTAATGTATGAATTTTATAGTTATATATAAATTCATCCTTCAAGGCAGCTAAAACACATTTTAAATACTAACTTAACTAAAGGTAAAGAAGCTCATTTAATTTTTTTTACGCTATTTAACAGCAAAAAAAAAGAAGAAGAAAAGAATGTTGTACCCATGAATAAATACTGTTTAGTGTGTTATTACATCTTCTAACAAACTAATGTTTGCTGGAAGATTAATTCCAAGTTCAATTCTAAACCTGGAATTCATCAGCTAAAAATACATCAGAACAGGTTTGGTGAAGCCACCATGCTGCCCAGCCATCTTGAATACAGTGACTGGCAAGAAAATTCTTTGAGACCAGCCCCTGTTTATCAGAGGGAAAGTGTTATTTTTAGGACACTCTAACATAACGTTAGCTGGTATAATGTTAGATAATGTTAGGGGTTTTTATGTTTGTTTGTTTTTAGATGTTCACCTGCTGTGGAGGCAAGTTTCAAGATCAAGATATGATGGATCATACCTATAGTTTTTTCATCAGAGAAAGGAAAGAGACACCAATACCAGCATTTTAAAGACCTTCTATGACTCTGTGGTGGCATCTATCATTTTTTACAGTGTTGTATGTTGGAGCAGCAGTTTATCGGCAGCTGAGAGGAAGAGGTTGGATAAACTCATCAGGAAGGCCAGCTCTGTTCTGGGATGCACCCTGGACCCAGTGCAGGTGGCACCATTTTGCACAGAAGGGTAAAGAGCATAGTTTTCTTGTCAATCTTTAGGTGCTTCATTTGCTAAATTGTCCAGGCTCTGTCCATCAAAGCGGATAGCGTGCCAGCCTTCAGTGACAGTGAGGTCCTGAGCTCCTTTAGCAGCATAAAAGTCTCGAGAGGGAGTGTTCCACTCTAACGCAGACAACTGCAGCCGCGCACACTGCTTCTTTTTCCCAATCTGAGCAAATAAAAAAATTGTCCTGCTCTTAATCATGCACTATTACCTCGCTATAACACAAAACAGCTGATATTAACCAAAACAGAAGAAA